GAGCGGGGGCACAGGGGTGGGGGCTGCAGGGTGGGGAGTAAGGGGCACCGGCAGGGCTGGGGAATAACAACTAAGCACTGCCTTCCCCCAGGGCAGCGCCCCCCCATGCTCCCACCAGGACCAGGCCAGGGACCCCCCCATCCCGCTGCGGAAGAGGCTGGAGTTTCAGCAGCAAACGCTGTCGGTGCTGCGAGAGCAGAACCGCTTGCTTCTCGAGGTGAGGAGGCTGCAGGGGGCAGAGGACACCGAAGCGGCCGACCAGGTTGCTGCCATGGGCCCGTCCGTGGCCAACTCCGTTGTGGAGCTGGGCCCAGGATGGCCCATGGGGCCGCTGTGGCCGACCCAAGATGGCTGCCAGGCCCCATTGCCTGCTGGGCCAGGATGGCCGACCGCTGCCAACTACGTGGTGCCCCCGTGGGCATTAGGCGCTGCGCGAGGCCTCTGTTTACAATGGCCGAATCTTGAGGCTGCGGGTGGGCCCCTGACGTGGCCGATACCCCACGGTAGGGCTGCTTGAGGTGGGGGTGACAAATGGCTGCACCAACGGGTCTGTTTGGGAGCCGGCAATGGGGGAGGCCGGATTCAAGATGGCTGCTGGCACGGGGCCCTAGGCCTGGGGGGGATGGTACCTCGGGGAAGGACGGGCTGTTGGTAGTGAGACAAGGTGGATGCCGGAGAAGCCAGCCTTGCCCAACAGCACCCAGATGGCTGCTAGGGTAGTGGGTTCAAGATGGCCACTTTGCTGGCAGCACAAAGTACACCCCAGCGAATTGCACAATTATGCACACGTGTAATAGTGTGCATATAACATACGACCACGCATAATCACATTATATTGCATAATTTAATCTGGGCAGGCTCTGTGCCTCCGGGGCTCCTGGCACCACGAGCGGTGCTGTGCAACTGGACAGCGGGGAGGGGAGCTCCTGCCTGCCGCGGGGCATTGCACCCCCCTGCTGTTGGCAGCAGCGGCAGGTCCAAGATGGCCCCCTCTCCCCCTGCCCTGCTAAGCCAGCCTCGTGAGGGCCTGCCTTACATGGCTGCCCTGGGGGGGGCCTGGCCCAAGATGAACACCCTTGCCCCCCCAACTGGGAGATCCCTCCCCAAGGTGACTGCTTCTTCTGGGAGGGAGACCCCGAGATGGCTGCCCCCCAAAGGGCCTGCCCCAGGTGGCCGCCCATCGCTATCTCGGCTGCAGGAGGCGTCGGCCAAGAGCGAGCGCATCGCACGGCTGGAGCGGGAGAAGGCAGTGCTGGTCCAGCTGCTCCGGGAGACCCGGGGCAGCTGCAGCACAGCCCACAGGGCGCCCACGTTCCTCTGAGGTCACTTCCTGCTTGATGACATCGTGCCTGCTGAAACGGAACCCCAGCGTGGCAGCCTGTGTTGCTTAGCGATGTCACTTCCTGCTGCTCCTCCTCATCCTAAGGTTGCTGCCTCTGAAGTCACGTGCGCAGTGGTGTCTTCCCCCAAACTGATGTGGTCTGCAGGAACCCAGGCAGCTGGGCCGCCCGCCTGTCCTGCCCACGCTGGAGTTCGTTGCCCTACTGGGTGCCCCAGGCTTTCCCTCGCCTGGAGAACCCAGGTGCATGGGTCCCCTCACTTCCTCATGGCCACATTTCCTTCTGTCCTTCTCTCATACAAACACACAACTCCAAACATGTGGGTCACCCCCACCCCCAGGCATCTGGGGCATGTGTGTGCGTGTGCACGCACACACACCACCCAGGCATCCATGACAGACACAACCCAGGCACACGAGATGCACACATACCCCTTTGTGCCTCTCCCTTGAACACCCTCCTCCCCAGGCCCTGAGGACCCCGCTCCTCCCAGACCAGGTTCCCAGTGCGTGCCAACTGGGCCTCTGGGACACGCTTTCTAAGATAAGAGGTAGCATGGTAAGAGCCCGACCCTTCACTCCTGGTGGCTGCAGCTGGCCGATCATCTCGGCCACTTCCATTCGTGCCTGGGAGACGGCAGCACTATAATCACAGAGTGCCTTCCTCCAAAACAGTGGTCACCAACCAGTTGATCTCCATCAACTGATTGGTCATGGAGCCTCTGATAGTCAATCTCAGGGTGAGGGGTGGGCACCAGATCCTGCGGTGCCCTTTACAGACAAAAAGTGATCTTCACCATGAAAAGGTTGCAGACCACTGCTCCACAGGGTTTGTTTCAGACCCCCCTGGCTCTCCACCCTCCTTCCACCACTATACATATAAGTATCCATTGAACTCTTTTTTCGTGAGAGTTGGCTTTACTGAAAACAATCACGAGACTCCTGATTTCCAGGTCAAATTAACTCTGACTCATGATCTGATAAAGAGATCAAATTTTGGGATTTTTTCTTCTGGCATGTGTAGAGAGTGCAAAGCTGGTAAGTCGGTGTAGGACAGGGGGTAGGGAGGTTGATTGAGACCCCCATGGTGAGGGAGGAAGTGGGGCAGGGGCTGTAGCGAATGAAGCCTGGGGGCCAGGGCAAGTCATGCAACAGCAGTGGGCAGCTGTCTGTGCGTGTCTGCCCCTCACTCCCAAGCCATACCCCACCAGCCCTGCTGCTGCCCTCCACAGCACCCTGCATCCTGCCAGGGTGTGGGGGGGACCCCCTCCTCGAGCTCCACACCCACAGCCCCACACCTTCACAAATAATGCCCCCCCCACCACACATTTTTAATTTAATTTAATTTTTAATTTATTATTTAAAAACAATACTTTCTTTGAAAAAATCTAGTTGGTCTAATAAAAGATATCACCTCTACCATGAGTCCCGATTCCTTCCTCCCCACACATACAGACTTCAAAAATAGCAATTCATGAGTTACATTCCAAATTCCTTGATTTTTAAGTTTGTCTCACAATTTTTGACGTGGGCTGGCAATTCTGTTTTATTGATACATTACCATTTTTAAGGAATTTGGAAGCCTTCCAGTGCCTCGATCATGATAATAAAATAAATTCTAAATACCTATATATTCTGGTGTTTTTGTTTTATAGAGAATCGGAGCTCCCACTGCCCCCTTCACTCACCAAGATGTGGGTCCAGCTGCGGCTGTCGTCGTCCCCCCCGCTGCTTTGTGGCACTGGGCAGTCCTGATATGGCCGTGCCCCTCACTCTCAACCCATAGCCTCCTCAGCCCTGTGGGTGCCCCTCACTCCCAACCCACAGCCGCCCACCCCAGCCCTGCCAGTGCCTCTCATAGAATAAACAGACAGTGAGGGTTGGAAAGGAGCCTCAGAAGGGACCTCAAAGCAGGCCCAGCCCCAACTAGATCATTCCAGCCAAGGCTCTGTCAAGCTGGGGAGACTCCACCACCTCTGGGTATCCTGTTCCAGTGGTTCACCACCCCCCCAGCCACAGTGTTTCCTAATATTCAACCTCAACTTCCCTTGTGTAAGTGGAGCCCATTGCTCCTTGTTCTGGTCACCCAACTTCTATTATCAGAAGGAATGAGGGCTCCTGGGTTGTTTGCCAGCTCTGGGAGGACTGCAGACCTCAGACACGAAATCAGGAGGGCCGAGGAGCCAGGACACCTGGGTTCTCACCTCCCTCAGAGGACTGTAGGACCTAGTGGGCTCAAGCTCGGGGAGGGGGAGCTGGGAGCCCTATTCTGCATTGGTCACCTCACTGCTTTGCTGTTGGCTTTTGCAGCTTAAACTTCAGAAATTGCAGAAACGACGGAAGACGTTTCGAGGCATACTTGAATGCCTTACAAACGCACTCCTATGGTCTCCTTCACATTTTTGTAGTTGACCTTCCTGTCAACGAGGCATGTGTCCACTGCATTCTCTCCTTTCCTGGAGAAAAAAACGCTTTCTCCAACATCGCACTCCATGACCAGCCTTCCGCAGGCACTTCAGCTCAGTGGAAAACTTCTCTATGGCCATGTTCAAAGCTTCCCTAACCTTGCTGGGCACTCGCTGCAGACTCATCACCTTCAACCGCACTGTCTTGAGGTTCTTCTCGCTCAGGCGGTTTCTGCTGAGCGGAAGCATCTTCCGATACATTGCCCAGGTCTTTGCTTGGACGCTGTAGGTAGGACTCCCCTCCTGCCATTTGATGGTGACCATGAGGGCCTTGCCTGAGAAGAACCACAGCCTTGTCCCATCCCACTTCACATCCATGGTGGGGATCTCTTGGAGGCTCGCTGCCTCATTGGGAAACTTCTCCAGGAAGAAGGGGTCAAAATAGCCTCTCAGCTCTGCTCGTCTCTTCTCAGGATATCAGCCCCTTGTGGATTCTCTGGAGGTTCTCCATGCTCAGCCTTTGGGGCTGGGGAATAACCTTTCCAGGAACGCGTCGGCCGGGGGTTCCTTGACTTCGTAGCGAGGATCCCCCTGGGGGCTGCCTCTGGCATGGGGCACCCTGCTCTCGCACTCCCCTTCTCCAGAGATAAACACCCACTCTGTCCCCTGGCCTGCAAAGACCATCGGGCATTGTCCTGCACACACTGGGGGAATTCCTTTAAGGGCCAGCTCGAAGCATCTTAACCTGGGAGTCATCTGCAGCTCTTGCTGGGCCTGAACTTTCCTCAGGCCCTCGGTGCTCATGGTCCTTCCTGCAATGGGGGCCGGGGGGATCCGAGCCCTGCACTCCTCCCCCCCGCCCCCCAACAGACCCTCCCGAGTGGCTGCGTGGGTGGCACCCCCAGCTCAGCCATGGCTGCACCCAAGAGCTCCCCAGACGCCTGGGACCCCTTCCCTGCAGGAGGGGCAAGGTGGGGTTTCTATTCTTATCAGTGGGGGGAGCGGGGGTCTTCTGGAATGTTCCATCACTTGCTCTCGTCCGTCCCCCAGTCCCAGCTCCCCTCCCAGAGAACCCGGGTGTCCAGGCTCCTGGCCCCCACACCTCAGCCATGGTACGGCCCACCACCACCCCCACACCTCATCATGGGATGCCCCAGACACAGCCCCCCACCACATGCCCTCCGCAAGCAGCTACCCAATCACAGGGGCCATCTCAAATGGAGCAAAATAGTTTAATGTCTCTGATACCCGATCAGCCGGGAGAAAGTGGAGGGCAGGGGGCTCCGCCTGTCTATCCACCCCCCTATTCCTGTCTGTGGGGGGCTCACAGCAGAGTCTGGAAGGTGGCCAGCGCCTCATCCGTCTTGCGCAGCTCCACCTCCATCTGGGCCAGCTGCAGGTCAGAGGTCAGGGGTCAACACCCCTGTGGCCAAGCACTATGCCATGATCCCCCCTGCTGGACCCCGCCTTCTCACCCACCACTCCTAGTGACCCCTCGCCCCACAGCCCCGTGACCCCCTGCCCTCCTGGGCTCCTACCTTGGCAGCGTCGGCC